GTATGATTTAATTCATTGTATTTGAGTGTGTCAGTGAAAGTATGGACAGGAAATAAAATCATTAAGATTTTACTCACCATCAGTAAGACAGTCTGTTACTTCATTATCGAAAGCACCAGTGCTAACAGTGCTGTGGAACCTTCCAGAGGTTTTCCTTTGCTTATACTCACATACTGTTATGCGTTTATTTTTACTGGTATCATAACACACATGCTGTTTTGTTACTTTTTTTTTTTAAACATTTGCTAGTGTAAGGCAGACATCTCCCTGTGATGTAACTGTTCTTTCTGAATGTCATTTTCTTGCCTGTGTTTACTGTGAATTCACCATATTGCATTTCACGGCTCCCCACCAATTCCCATCTTACTGTATGGTTAGGTCATTTCCAATATTGTGCAATGATATTCCCAATACATGCTGTCCTTTAGGAACCATCCATGTTGGTAGATCTTGGCTAAGGCGTCTAATGATTTTCTTAAGAACTTTGGAGCCAAAATTGCTGAGTAGAGGATATGCACATTTTACATTTGGGGACAAGTGCTGCGTGTTTCCATACAGCCTTTACGGCTTGTTACCCTGGGTCTTCCCACATGGGTGTCACGAAGTTGTCCCTGGGGGTCCTGGGCTGAGCCTGTCCCCTTTGCCTGTACACAAGAGCTGTGAACTCACCTTGTACCCTCTGATTGGGGGTTTGGTGAGCTAGTCGCCAGCAGGTGGCTTTTAAACCTGCCAAGTTCTTGAGGTTTTTTAGAAAATCTCCATATACATTTTCTCACCAAAGCCTCTTGAAGCAGCCTGAAAAAAGGTGGGGGCAGGTTGGAGTTTGGGGGTTGAAAGGAGTGCTGGGATTGGAGCTCAAAGACCCAGGTTCTGGTCCCACCTCTCTGCCTCTCATGCACTATGAGAACTGAGAGTCAGAACGCTCCTATCTCAGCGACTTGGTTTCTGACTTGAAAGGCAAGGGCCCTCTGAATGCACTCAGGGGTCCTCATAGCTCTGTATTATCAGGTTTGTTGATCCTCATTTGGCGAAGGATTACTAAAATGCGATTGGGAACAGTTGGTATATCAAAAAGGCCAGCACCAGTTCATCTTGCCTTTTCAGACTATCTTGTAGGTCCAGTTTACCTACCGACAGTGAGGCAAAACTGAGTTGGAACAACATCCTGTCTTAAAACTATTTTAACAAAATCTGATTTTTAGACAATTTTAAAGAGGGGGCCTGTTTGTGGTTGATTTGGAGGCCTCATAGCCCTGGAAGTGAAGCTCAGGTCTTGCTGATTTGAAGTAGTGTGGGATCTGTTGGAGTGAGGAGGCATGAATAATTTGCAGTGCACACAAGGTTACCAGGATACTAGCTGGAGACAGTGCTGATCAACAGCTTGCTTTCTTAAGCCTTATTTACAAGATGAATTCCCTTAGATAATCCTAATTGAATTTCTCCATATATGGAGGTATGTGTTAAAGAGCAGTGATTGAGATGGCATCCAGCCAAACACTTAACATTTTGCTTTGTCTAGACATTGAGGCACAGAGAGGTTAAGTACTTTGCCTAGGGTCACACAGCTACCATGTGATAAAATCTGGATTTGAATGCAGACATTCTGGTTCCAGATATAGTACTCATTCAGGAGAGATGGAACAGGTCAATTATAACTATTGTAACTTTCTGCAGTGATGGAAGTGTCCTGTATCTGTGCTGACCAATATGGTAGCCAGTCACCTGTGGCTATGGAGGACTTGAAATGTGGCTAGTGCCCACTGAGGAATTCTTCATATTATAGATTTGTAATTAACTTAAGTAGCCACACGTGGCTAACAGCCACCATGTTAGACTGCACAGAGACAGAAAGTTGAGGGCTTAGGGGATAGTGGGAGGTAGAGGGGGACTGTCTGTGTGCTCCTGAGCCAACCTTGGTTCAGGGAGCATGCAGGGAAGGCTTCCTGGAGGAAAAGCCACCAAAGTTGAAAGCTGAAATGCAGCCAGAGCTAGGGCTGCCCCACCTCTGGAGGTGAGGGATTTTTCAGTGAACTGGCATGTGAGGGGAGGAAAGGCTGGGGCACCCAGTGGGCGGTCTGGGCGGAACTGGGCATGGGGAGGGCAGTGTCACTGAAGACACTGGGCATTAGAAAGGGGAGAGGAGTGTCATTAATGAAGGTCCCACAAGCCATCTTTAAGGTTTTTAAACCTTACCCTGAAGGATGTGACTATCCAAGGGTTTTGAGCAGGGACCCTAAAGGCTGAGGCTTTGGTTTTGGAAAGTGTAATGGGAAGAGATATATGGGAGAGACCAGAGGTGAGGGAAACAGGGAGAGGCTGTAGCTCAGGCAAGTAGAAATTGGCTGAAGCTGGATAGAATGTTCTAGAAGGAGGCACTGAAAGACTTGAGGATTGATGTGATGTGGGGTAAGAGTGACAGTGGGTCAGAGATGCTGCCCTTGGGAACCCAAGTCTGGCATTGGTTGGTAGAGGGAGGAAGCATCTGTCCCTACCTGTGGGGAGTCCAGATCCCTGAGCATGAACCATCAACCTTTCTGGGAGGACCCATAGACAATGGACAGAAGCCAGCTTATCTTTGCTGGCCATCACTTACCCACTGCCCCCCAGGCCATTGCAAAGAGGTCAGGAAGAAACATCCCCCCTCCTGCCTGATTCCACCATTGGCATCTTGATTGCCAGAGGCCTCCATAGGCACACCCCTTTCTCCAGTCACTCAGCACTGAGAGTGCCCCAAACTCTCAAGAGTTTTGAGGACCCAAGAAGAATCATGCTCTGCCAAGGGTATGTCAGGTTCTGCCTGACTCTGGGAGGTCTGGTCACCTCAGCTCCCACCTCCCAAGCACCTGATATGGGCCAGGCGCTGAGCTTATGAATTTCCAGAGATTATCTCCCTTGGCCTCAAAATAACCCTTGATTTTCCAAGAGGAAGCTGAAGCTTTGGGGTACAGTCACTTGGCCAGACCACACAGTTGGGCTGGAGCAGCGATGGCACCATCCCCCACTCCCACACCAAGTGGTGTCCCTGAGCAGCTCCGTTCTCTCTTCTGCTGAGGAAACAGGCCCAGCACCCAGCTTGCCACCCTCTGCAAACTGCTTGGACAGTGTGGAATCCGCCAGAAACAAACCCTAAGGTCCCAACCTCTGACGCCTTTGGGGGATTGTCAGGCTGATCGAGTGGCATCTTTGAAAACCTTAAGCAGCTGAGCACACACTCATGTGGTGGCCCCCACTCCTGGGGTCCCAGAGAGAATTCTGTTCCTGCTGCCTGTAGCTGAGGATGTCAGGTGACCTTTCAAGGCAAACCCATCCAAGTTTCCCCAAGTGGGGACTGACTGCATTCCCAAAGCATGCTAACAGCCACGCCCACGCGCTGCCCCTGGACATGGAGACTGGGCAGACTGCCCCTGGAAGGCTTGTTCATCAGGACCAAAGCTTTACCACGTGCCCTCTTGATGCGCCCATTCTTCAGCTAGGGATTTCTCCTGCGGGGACAATCACAGAGAGGAGCTGCCTCCCCCAAAGGATATTTGTCACATCAATGAAAAAGTAATCAGCACCCACATGCCCCGACACTTGGGGACTGGTGAAATGAGCAATGCTGTGTCTGTGCGTGGAATGTTCTTGCGCCATTAAAGATGATGACCAAGCTGAATTCACCCAGGGGAGATTCTGGGCGGGACTACATGTCCCAGAAAGTAGGAGAAAGAGAAGGGGAAGGAGATGGGCCTTTATTGGGTGTCTCCTACATGCCAGGTCCTGTATGAGAACCTGTCCCATAGGTGAGCTCCATGGCAACCATGTCCTTGGGGTGAGGAAGGGGCCCACCCTTGTAAGTTCTTCTAGAGGGAGGGAAAGCCCTAAGGTCACACAGCAAAACTCTTCCACGGTTTCTCGCCTGCCAGATCATGCAGGCTTGCTCTATAAGGTTGGCTCCATGGGAGCTGCAGAGAGGAGCTCCCCATGCCTGGGAGGGAGATAAACTGTTATCAAAGCTATCTGAGTCGCTGCAACGCCAGTGGCCACCCAAGGGACTGGAGTTTGGTTTTGCCTGGAGCACTCCGGCTTCTCCCTGCTCAGTAACATGAGGACCTAAGGGGCCGCTGTTTCCATAGTCAGCCACAGGGAATGGGCTTTTAATTTGCCCAGTGAACAGTTACGGAAGCCAGCAGCTCAGTCCCTTATTGGAGATCAATGGGCTGCCCGCCGTGTGCCAGGCACTGGAACCGATTAACTCTGTGGCAAGTTCTGTGTTCACCAACATCCTCTCTGAGTGCCCAGGCCGTGGGCAGGACCAGTAACTGAGCAGGTGATGGTAGAGCCCGTGAATCCAGGCTGTGTGCGGGGCAGGGGTTACCAGTTTGGACATAGGGTCCAAGATGCCCTGCCTGGGTTTGAGTTCCGGAAGCCCTGCCACTTACTGCCTGTTTCCTTTGGGACATGTCACTTTACTCTCCTGAATCTCAATGTTCTCTGTAAAATGGGGATTATGACAAGCTCCGCCACACGGGACTGCTGTGGCGCTGCAGCATGGGGGAGACGTAGGCAGCGTGGATGACACCTGGCAAAGTCAAACGCCCCTCTGATGCTGTGCTGGATGACACTGGCAGGGAATGGTGGTGGTGGGAGCCCAGCGTGGGGTGTGCATGGGAGTGGGGCGAGCTAGGCTGGTGAGTCTGGGAGCATGGAGGGTGGGGAGCCCATCAGCCTGGCTACGGTGTGAGATGGAGAGAGATGGGCCCAGAGGAGGGGCAGGGCTGGCGCCCGACAGGACCAGCACATCAGGAAAGGTGACCCCTGCAAGCTCATGACAGTCCTGCATCTGCTGATGTCTTGGGCAGGCCCAGACACTTGGTCACGCTAGTGTCCAGTCAAGACATTTGGGCCCACCTCTGAGAGGAGAAAGGCACGGGCGGGTTTGAGCTGAGGGTGGTGTGTCTGTGGCACGAGGTTCTGAGTGTTGCCCCTGATGGAAACCTCTCTTGTCTGCCTTGTCCTTGTAGGACCAGCTGAAGCAGTGTTTCTCCAGGCGGTCCCCCGAAGCCAAGGACACTGACACCCTCGTGCAGGAAGCCAACAGCCAGTATGGGACGTGGACGGACCAGCACCCGAGCGGGGAGAGGTAGGGCCCCCACTGCGGGCGGGCTGCAGGTGGGCTGCGGGCAGGCTGTGGGCTGGGAGTCAGTATGAATCACCTGCCTGTAGTTTGCTGGTTTCTCTACAAGTCCTCACTCAACGTCGTAGTATCTTGGAAACAACAACTTTACATGAATAAACGTCAAGTTTTAATTAATAACTTTTAATCACTTCATTTCATCATTTCATTCAATGGGAGGGATTTTGTTTTTCTCATCAAAGTTATAATGAAGCTATGTTGTGTGTCACTGTTGGGGAAGCCACTCTTGCTGTAAAGGTTTAGGAAGTGCCAAAAATGACTAAGAAAAGAATATATGAAATATCCAGGACAGGCAAATCCACAGAGGCAGAAGGTGGATGAGTAGCTGTCATATCGGGGGGGCGAGGGACAGAGAGTGTCGGCTAATGGGGAGCAGGTTTCCTTGTGGGGCCTGCAGCTGCTCTGGAGTGATGTCACAGTGGTGGATGTGCACCATTGCCAATATGCTTAAGTGTCCCTAATGTAAGTTTAATGTTACGCATATTTTACTAGCTTAAAAAAGATTATAAAGAAAATGAAAACCACCTGTCATCCCAGCACACAGTCATAACTTTCATTATTTTTTGTTATTGTTGTTGTGTGTCTTTCTAGGCTTTGAAAATACATCTGTGCGTGCATTTAGGGACATACTTATAAAGACTCCGCTTTATAAGATGTGTCTATATTTAATATTAATGGCCTGTAGGGCCCTCATTTGTCAGCCTGGCTGGGAGGGAATTTATGAGGAAGGCACATGCCTGAAGTTAAGAGTGTGGCCTGGATTCTGGAGGCAGGCAGGTCTGAGTCCTGCTCCACCCATGCTGGCTGTAGGGCCTGGGGTGTGTCAATTAGACTCCCCAGATTTTATGTTGCACCTCAGAGGAAGGGAGTGCCACTTACAAAAACAGCCTGGGTGTATCAATCACATGTGCTAAGCACTTAAATAGGTTAACATTTAGGCCTGTTACCCCTGCGCCTCCCCATATCAGGTAAAAACTGAAGGACCCCCCCCATAGCTAGGGGTTGTCGGGAGGTAACCTGTGCAGAAGTTAACGTAACTACGTTAAACTACTACATTAAACTACGTAGTAGTTTCTGGCCTGTAGTAGGAACGTTATGTATCGTTTTTGCTCATCACTTCTCTTGGGTGGGATGGAGCCCACTGGGGACTCTCTGGCCCCCCAGGTGGAACCCACCAGGCTCTCAGCTCACAGGGCCACGGGAGCACGTGGTCATGGCACATGTGACTTGGGTTCCATTTCCACATGGCTGCTCACCATCTATGTCTTTCCCGTGTAACTCAGTTTCCTCGTCCGTGGGTATCATGCCCAGGGATACTATGTGTATGTAACTGAAGTGAGCTCAAACCCAGGTCTCCCCTCTCCATCCCCCGTACACCTAATGGAATATGTCCTGTAGCAGTCACTGTTGGATGGTAAAGTTGGATGGAGATTGGTAGAATTGAAAATGAGTAAAAGAAAAAGCTGAGCAAACTGTACAATATCTAAAGCTTGTTTTCTTCCTAAACTGTGATATGTGTTTAGTAAATGAACCCAAATTCCCCCACAAGAGCATTGGGTCTCGACTTTACTTATCACTGTGTGTGACCCTGGGAGGCCTGTCCTCTCTCTGGGAATTCCCCCAGCTCTTACAGAGAGCCTGGTGAGACCTGCCTCCAGGACCTGGGCCCTCACCTGTCAGGGGGTGCCCCCTTGTGTCTCCGACAGGCACTGCAGCGCCCCTCAGGGCCATCCGCAAATCTCCCGTCCTGGGCAGTGGTGCCATCTGCTGCCAGCTGAGTGGTATATCCCTCATTTCTTGTAGACGTGGCCTCATCCCACTCCACACTCCAACATTGTGTCTTTTCCAAGTGATACATTCATTCCAGAGCAGACAGAAAGCATGGTTGTGCTCCTGGAGTGAAACGTCAGTGCACCTGGGCTGAAGGTTCTGCTCAGGGGTGCAGTGTGGGGGTATCAGGGCAGATCCTCCTATGGGGGTGGTGTCTGGTGTGCCCCACCACCTTCCTCAGGGTAGGGGGTCCCTGTGCCCTGGAGGCTTTGCTGTGCTGTTGATTTTGTAATCTGTTTTATTTATTTTTTTTTGCAGGGGAGACTCTTAATTTAATGACCTGTTTTACTTATAAATTTTCTATCTGGTGTGGTTCCAATATTCAAATTGATGCTTGAATCCATTGTAGTGAGAAGAAATTCTAGAAATCAAAAAGGCTCCAGGGCATGGATTTTGGAGTCAGTTCTGACCTTTGGGCAAGGCACTTCACATCGCTGTGCCTCAGTTTCCTCTTTTTTTCCCAAGGTCAATATTTAACTTCATGATGTTAATCAGTCCTACCTTGCAGAGTTGCGAGGGTTATAGAATCACAGGATAATCATCATAGGAGTGTGGAGAGGATAAAGTGACAGTTTTTCTCAGGGCACCTGGCACATAGTAAGTGCCTGGTAAATTTTTATGGAGTGAATGCATGGATGGATGGGATTACCCTTGCCCCCTGCTGGTAATTATTTGATCTACCTCAGCACTGCCCCACAGAAATATAATGCTAGTTGCAAATTTGAGGCATGTGAATTAAAATGTTCTGGTAGCCACATCAAAAGAGTAAACAGAAACAGATGAAATTAATTTTAACAATTTAAATAGAAATGTTATTGAATCCGATAGAGCCAAAATAGATCACTTCAACATGTAATTGATACAAAAAATTAACAAGATATTTTACATTCTTCTTCCACTCAAAGTACTGGCAATCAGTGTGTACTTCATACTCACACACATCTCAGCTCTTACTCGCTACCATGTAAGGGCTCAAGAGCCACAAGTGACCAGCGACTCCTGTTCTGAACAGCTCAGGCTTAGAGGGTCTGGCATGGCTCAGGACTGGCTCCTCCCAGTCCACACTTGTCCAGGTATGCAAGAGGCACCAAGGCTGGCACATCTTGTGCTCCAAGGGCTTCTCCTACTGGGTGTTTCGTCTCTTGTTTCCTGGCTTATAAAGCAAACCCCACACCCTGCTAACTGCCGCCTCCTTTAGTGAAGTTCACTTCCCTAAAAGCACTTGCATGATCTTCCTTTCTCACAGCTTGGCCCCTGAGTCCCCTTCCCCAGACAGCAGTGCTGCTTCAGTGCGAAAACAGCCCCCCAGCAGCCGCCTGTCTTCGCTGTCCTCCCAAACGGAGCCCACCTCGGTGGGGGACCCACACGACTGCTTGAGGGACCAGCGGAGCACCAGTGTGGACCGCTCCAGCACTGACCTGGAGTCCACTGATGGGACAGACGGTCTGCCCCCGCCGGATGCCGGCTCTGCAGCGAGGGTAGACGACTTCTCCTTCATCGACGTAAGTTGGTAACCGGGAGCATGTGTAAAACAGCCATTTCAAGAGTCATGCTAGTATGTTCTGGTGAATTGCCCCTTTTTGGGGTAGAATCTGTGTCTGGGGCTGTTGTGGTGGGCACAGAGGGCACAGTCTTCGATATAGGGCTGATGTCTGCAGGTAGCTTGGCAGACATCAAGCTATCATGCCAGCTGCGTGTCTTAGAGCACATGTTTTCACCTCTCTGAGCCTCGGCTTTTTCATCACTGGTAGCCAGCACTGCGGGTTTCACAGCGTCAGATACAATCACGTGTTCAAATGAAAGCTAATCTGAGCCCATCTGTCAGGTAAGTGAAAGTCTGCTCTTAGCCCTGGAGGGTCTGCCTGTGACTTGTGATTCCAGGCGTGCAGATGCTGGAGTTTGCTCAGACTGATTCTGCTGGGTGCCATGGGTCTTGATTAGAGTCCATGATGCCAGCGCATCCAAGTCTCTCTGTAAATGGATTATGATGGTTCCAGGAAGGGGAGCCCCTCAGGCATGGGCAGTCAGCCCTTCTAGTTCCCAAATGTCTCCTGCTTCAGCCCCTTCCAGACTAGCACCTATCCTGCCCCATGCACCAGGGCTCAGGCGGATTTTCCTTTTAATCCCTTGAAACATGGGAATGTCATTATTTTCCTTCCTTGACAATAAAGTTTTCTCCTGAGGATGCAACATCTAAATGATGCAAAATCTAATCAGACCTTCTCTCTCAGTGGTGACATCTTGTGTCCACACTCTTAGGGATGGCTAACCAGATCCCACCCCCCCACCTCAGACTGCCACTGTTTGGGGAGGCAGCTCCCTCTAGGACCTCAAAGGAGATTTCATCACCAAGTATGGTCAAGATCACTTGCTTGCACCTCTGGAGAAGCACAGAGATGGGGAAAGAGTCAAGTTCAAAGTCCATTGGGGAACCCCACTACATAAATATGACCCAGCATGCCCACTTCTCCAAGTGGACTACAAGGTGATATATTCAGTTATTCATTCAACAAACATTTATATTGCTCTGGCTTCCATGCTCATGATGTCACTGTATCAGAGCACAATTTACTGGATGCCCCTTCCTGATGCTAGGCAGCTCCTTCTCAGTGACCACTGTAAACAACAGCAGCAGTATCAATAGCCACTGGTCACTGAGTGTTGGCCCTGCCCCATGTGCATGCTAATAAACCAAGAGGCAAAAATTCCTGCCCCACTTGCAGCTTAGGGAACTGAAGTGGTCCTTGAGTGACTCAAATGTGAGTGTCCCTAATTACAGGCCCAGCTGCTTATTTAGCACTTGCTGAGGTTTATGTGTGATGCCTTCCATGATTTAGATCTCCCCAGGGGGCTGATTGGAGGCTGAAAGAGGAGATAAGGCACTAAGGAATTATGACCTTGCTAGCCTGAGGCTTCTAGGGGCTGGAAACGGGACAAACCCCCCATCAAGCCTGCCCCTTGGTGTAACTCCCTCCAACATTCTCTGCATCTGAGAATCTGACCAGAGAAGTGGGCCTTCTCTTGGAGCAGTAGATCTTTTGTGATCTCTGTGTCTCCCGCACTGGACACCATCATGACCCATTTGGGAAGCAGCTATGCAAATATTAGCTTCCTCCCTCCTATCCCGATAGGGTGTCTACCGCTTACCAACTCTGGAAAACAATATGCTGAGAGTCCCCTGTCATGGCTAACTTAAAAAGCCTTGGGCAACAGAAATTCTCCAGAGTGGACCTGAGAGCAGGAAACCAGTATCTCATGCAACATGAGCTGGCCAGCCAGGAGCTCCTGTGGGCCCAGCTCTCTGTTGTGAGCCTTGGTCAGACACCACGTGAAACCAGGGTTCTCCGTGGCTGGCTTCTGAGTCTCTCAACCACCCTCAAATGGGGATGCTTTATTACCCCTTTTTACAAACAGGGAAACCCAAGCCCTAAGAGCTGAAGTTCAACACTCCATGTTACGCATCTGGGATTTGAACCTGGAACTCCAAGCTCTTCATCTCCATCTCCTAGGAGATCACTGAGCCAGTGGCTACCCTTTCTCCTTGCTGGGTCCACCTGAGGGCTCTGCACCACACACCCCTTTCATTTTAGAAGACAGTGATCTTGGAAACCATCACTGACCCTCCAGCCACCTGTGCTCAGAGTGTGTGGTGCTTAGTGCATTGATGCACCCCCTCTCACCTGCACCCTGACTTGTAGAGGAACCACCCTGAGACCTCTCAGTTCACGGACTCTGTATAAATAAGGTTATTGTGAGGATTGAGTTAGATGATGTTTTCAGTTATTCATTCAACAAACATCTATTGAATTCCTTATGCACCTGGCATCGCTCTAGCTTACATGCTCAGGTGAGCATTTCCACGGAGTGTCCACCATGTGCCAGGATTTTTGTCATCAGTCTAAGTGGTATATTTCATGGAGAAATTTAGGCTTAGGGTGTCTAGGTCACTATTAAAATGCAGGAACAATGTCCTTGTTAGCACTTCAATAGTATCTCCTACATACCCCTCTCTTGGGTGGGGCCTCAATTAATGGTTCCTTGTTTTTTCCCCCCTTCCTCCCTTTTGCTCCCAAAGCAAACCTCAGTGCTCGACTCAAGTGTCCTGAAAACCCGGGTGCAGCTCAGCAAGAGAAACCGCCGTCGGGCTCCCATTGCCCTTCGGCGCAGTCGAGTCATCGAGTCGGACAGCAGGTCTCCCTTGGAGGAGGAGGCGGACAGCATGTGGATGTTCAAGGACTCGACTGGTACACCTCTCCATGGGTCCCTATGGCGGGGAGGGTGTGGTTACACGCTGGGAAGAACTTTCTAACTTTGAAAACTATAGGACATTCAAATACAATTACATGGGAAACTGATTTCTTATTCTGCACAGTTTGTTACAAACTAGGTAAAATTTTTTTGGTAGATATATTAATTGGGGCTCTACATGTTAGAAGTAGAGAGACACAACTTAATAGGATTTCACATTTCTCTTTTTGTCATTATTATATCCAACCTATACTCCCTTTAGGCTTGTTTGCTGTTCTTTTCTATTTTTTGGAAGATTTATTTTTATTTATTTATGCATGGAAGAACTGGGGAATAGGCCAGAGGTGCAGGGGGGAGGGAATGAGAGGATTCACCAGAGACAGAGTGGGGAGCAGAACAGGCGAATCTACTGAAATACACTGCTGAGGGGAGCAGCGGGCGAGACTGGAGAAGAGGCCTGCTGCACCATGTGGGTCAGCTCCCTGGCTGGGAATCGAACTCAGGCCACAGTGGCTGGTGATCACTTCATAGCGCTGTGTCTTTAACCCCTGTGCCACCAGGGAGGCCCTGCTGGTCTTTTCTAGATCCTTGAGTTGAAAGATCAGTTCATTTATTTCCAGTCTTGGTTATACTGAATTTAAGACTGTGTTTTTCTCTGAAGACTTCTTTGACTTCTTTATCAAAACCTGAACAAGGCCCCCAGGTGGTCTAGTGACTTGGATTCAGTGCTTTCAAAACCTGGGCCAAATGGGACTCTCTCCCAGGAGAGAAAGACTATCCTGGCTCATTGTCACTTCTTCCAGCAACAGGCAGAGTAGTGAAGAGCGTGAGGCAGGTACCTGAGTTTACCTGCCTGAGACAAGGGCCTTCCGTGCAGGGTGTGTGAGGCCCGCACAGGGGCTGAGTGCCCACGCCTGGCACATGCACTCGGCCATGGTGCTGCTGACGACTTCAGTGCCCTTTTCTTTGACACAGAAGAGAAATCCCCCAGGAGGGACGAGTCCGATGAGGACGAGAAGCCACCCAGAGCCGAGAGGACACCTGGCAGCCACCCGCAGAGATTGCCCATGTTTCCAGGCGTGGACCCGGCCGTGCTAAAGGTACCACACAGCCCAGAGCTACCCTTAACCCAGCGGGTCTCAGGGCTATTTCCCTCCTTATGTCCCTCCCTCTGCTTCCTGCCCTCCCTCCCTCCCACCTTCCCTTCCGCTCTTTTTCTGAAATAGTTTGAGTCACAAGAAGTTTCAGAAATAGCACAGGGCATTTCCACGTGCTAGTCCCCCAGCTTGCCCCACCGGCGGTGCCTCCATGACCATCATCCATAATCAGAACCAGGAACAGGCACAGTGCTGAGAGCCACGCCACCAACTTACTTGGATTTCCCCAGTGCCCTGTGTTTCTCAATCTCTTTTTGTCTTTCTTGGACCCCTCAAACCTGTGCTCATTTTGGAGCACAGGTAGCTAAGCCTCCAGGTGCTCATCTATAAAGGCCTGAGAGTCCACTGTCAACCTCAGGTCTGCAGAGCCCCGGAGTGGGTCTTGGGCTGCCCTGGGTGATCCCACAGTCAAAGACAGTGTGACTTTGGGCAAGCTGACCTTTGACCCATGGACCTTTGCTGTGTGAAGTGGGGACAGACTGTTTCTACTTTGGAAACATGTCATGGACCTTGATCCTGCAGGGTCTGAATGCCGGGTGCTCGGGCGCAGAGCTGCCAAGCAGACCCAGTGCTGGTGTTGCCGTTTCTGGAGGCTGTTCCAGCTTTGCCAGGGAGACAAATACCCCCTACTGCCCCCCTAATCCAGAATTCCTAATGGGAATTCTGGGCACACAGTGGAATTCTTAGTCATTCCATTCCCTGCATACCAAATCCACCGTGCATTTTTCCTGTGGGAATCTGATAGTCAAATTCCCTGTAATCTATTGTATGGGCACCGGAGAAAGGCGCTTAAGAGCTGCACCTCAGTCTGTAAGACAGGGCTGTGACCTCCACCCAAGGCTGCTCAGGGAGCCGAGAAGACCATGTGCTGCTGAGGACGCCGCAGATAGGGACTTTGAGGCAGAGATCATGTGGATTCTTGGTAATGGCTACTTGGCTTACAAGCTCCCCTGAAATTTTTTTCGCCCCCAAGGCCAGGTAGCATCTCCGGCTGTCCCGGTGTTTCCTGCCTGGGTCCATTTAGATGCTGGCACCCCTGGTCACCATGTAGCAACACTGATATTTGACGGGACCTGTCCCCAGACAAGGGCAGTTGACAGACGCGGCTCTCTCCTCTCCACAGGCTCAGCTGCACAAGAGGCCAGAGGTGGAAAATCCCGGCGAAACCCCCGGCTGGGCCCCCCAACCCAAAACCCCCAAGTCCCCCTTCCAGCCTGGGGTGCTGGGCAGTCGGGTACTGCCCTCCAGCATGGAGAAGGATGAGAGGTGAGGTTGTCTTGGGGATGAGGGCTCATCCCCTGCCACACCCAGGGTTCACGGCTTGGGAGGTGCTTCCCTAGACTTGAATAGAAGGAAAGTTTCAACATTATTTTTTTCCTCTAGCAGGAGGTTTCATTGATGTGAGCTCTGGGCTCTCTGTTATCTAAAATACACAAAGAGAGGGCCAGGCAGCCAGGAGTCAAGGCGGTTCCCTCCTCCCTGCCTGGGCATGGAGAGTTGGTACTGCACAGCCCTGCCCACGAGGAGGGCTCCATCTGGCTCACCCTTGACTCACTCTGGCTTTGTGGTTTCAGATCAGAAGAGCCCTCCCCGCAGTGGCTAAAGGAGCTGAAATCCAAGAAGAGGCAAAGCCTGTATGAGAATCAAGCTTGAGCAGGTATGAAGGGGCTTCGGTTGGGGCACCTGGACAGAGCCCCCCAGGAGCAGGCAGCTTGGACAGGGAGGCAAAGCTTCAGCCCCTCAAAGGGAGCTCGGTTGGCACATTCTCGCTCACTGTAGGGCAGCCGGGGTGGTAGGATGGACATGGGTCCAGAGTCAGAGAAGTGGGCTCTGTTCTGTTTGGTGAACCCCCTCACTGTCTCTTCATGCCCGCTTTGTAAAAAGGAGAGCTTCATTGGAGCGCCCAATTTCTGCTTTCATACAGAACCTGGACAATTGAGTTAATTTGAAAAGAATGATAAAAAATCGTGCAATTAGATATGTCCCATTGTAGGTCCCAAATGATGGAACATGTTCAACTTTAGTTTTCCTGCCTGACCAATGGGGTAACATGCCCATGGTGCTGAGGGTCCTCAGGGCTCACCTAAAGTGCTGTCCATGGGTCCTGGGCACAGGCCCCTGAGGTCCACACTCCAGGGAGGAGGGAATCGAGGCAGCTGCCCTGACTCCTGAGGCCCACAGGAGACCCCATCCGTTATCCACAAACTTGCCAGCCAGAAAGTTCTAAAAGCAAAGCGTTTCCATCATTCATTAGTCACAAGACCTGATGTGCATGGATGTCATTCTGTGGGGACTGTAGTTTTCCCCACTTCATATGAATATCCATGCATTACATTGCAGGTATGGGGTGGGCTTAATTATGGGGGTGTTGTGTAATTCATATGAACATAACACATGCTACATAATATTTCATATATGTGTGCATGCTGTGCGGGTGTGTATTTAAATACATACATCTGCGTATACATCTATGTATATATAAATACATATAATGCTCCCCCCAATTCTGGATTCCCAAATCTATACTCAGGGGTATTTTGAAGGGATCACTTAAAGCCTGTGTTTATTTTGTTTAGTGTAGGATAGGAGTATGTCAGTTAAGCCTCCAGAAATCCATTTGAGGAAAAGGAGTCTCAGAACCAAGACTGACCTGAGCCTGAACCTACATTCCACTATAGCCAGCTGCCCACCATCTCCTCACCCCATCTTGCAAGGAAAAAAAAAAATAACAGTTTGTGGCTGTCTTGGGGACTCACAGAAAAAGTTCTCAGACCCCATGTCTCCACTCCCAGCCCTCTACTGACACGAGGACTGTCCCTTCCTCTCCAGATGGGGACACTGCCACGTCTACTTAACAGAAGCCTTAACTGTCAGAATCCGAAGACAAGGCCACGCTGCTGCGCTGCCTCCCCCGCCCCTGGTTACCTGGCTGGGCCCTCCGGTCGATCCCTGAGAACGCCTGCTGGCGCTCTTGCCCTTCTTCTGGCTGTCCCTGATCCGGGCAGCTGCACCATCCCCTGCAAACACTGGCTCATCTCCCCAGAAGCTCTTCAGGCGGAGAAAGATGTCAAGTTGCCCAGCACTGTCCATGGGGGTGGTTTATTTTTAATGTAAAAATGTGCGATTCCATCCGCCTTGGACATTGGCAGTGGCTCCAGAAGCACCAGGGGAGGCTGGACCGTCTCCCTGGGTTCTGTAAGACATCTGAATTGTGGGAGCGCCTCTCCCCTCACCTCAGGCTGGGGTCTTTTTTGAAAGGACATTTCGAAGAAAGAAGAAGCTATTTGTTTCCTGCTGTCATTTTGGTCCCAGTCAGTAGCACCAGGTGCGGGGGGGCTTGATTACTTCTCAGCATGTTTTTTGTCCCTCTTGAACAATCAGCAGTTGTGATTTTCAAACATACCACCCTCCTTCCAAGTGTGTCTGTCCTTCCAGTGCGGCCGTGTGTATAGATGACCTATGTTGCTGTATGTCAATTTTGTTTGCTTGAGAAGGCGATATAGCAATAATCCAGCCAATTTTCTTTGAGATTTGGTATGTATATATGTTTTTACGTTGAAGAGTAGGAGGAGAGATGTGTGAATAGTTTGAAGAATCCAATCATCTCAGGTTATCTTGTCCCTACCCAAGCCTTTTAAAAATTTGGATTACCTGCCTTGTATATATTTTCCTGGTTTCTTTTCATTTGAGCGCTGATTTCTCGGGGGGGGGGTGACCTTTGTCCCTTGGTCTCAAGGGTTCATAAACTGCAGCCCAAATGGCAGTGCCTTTCCCACCCAAACAGCAGACTGGCCCTCAGATCCTTTCTCCAGAGTCTTTTTTTTTTGATCATGACTTGAGTTGCTGGCATGGAGGAACTAGTCCGGATTAGCTTCAGAATCAACACATGGATGAGAGTTCTTTTCGTTCTCACCTCTTCATTGTACCCAACCCCAACTCCACCTGATCAGGTGCTTTCTTTATGTCTAAATGCAGGAAGCAAGGAGCTTGCTGAGCGCTCTTCTAAGGACAGGAGCCACCTGGGCTGGGGACTCTAGACAGAGGTGTTGGATGTGAGGCCACCAAGTGTCTAGACCTGCCTTATCTCTTTTTCTTGCTGACTCTAAGCTCATGCCTAGGAATCCCCAAGACCCTTGCAAACTGTAGACATTCTCCTCTGTCCTTTGATTTGGAAGCCCTCAGTACCAGCCTCCTCTACCCCTGAAGTCCAAGGCGCCAGGAAGGCACCACCACCCACCCCTCCTGGAGTTACTGTAAACTTTGTGCCAACCGTCCTGGGAGACGCCCATCAGTGAGGAAGATACCTGGGTAGTTTGTATGGCAGCCGTGATTGTAGGGGGTTCTGGGGCTGAGTATCCTCGTGGTTCAGTGCAAGGATATCACTGGCATGTACCTCTGCACCCCACCCCTGACTTCCCAAGAGGTGAAAATCTTGATAAGTCCATTCTGTAAATGGTGTCAAAAAATACCTCTCTTCTCCTTGGCTGTCTCTCAGAGTCTCCATTTGTTGCTCTATCTCTTCTTCCTCCCTTATCCTGTACTGCTTCCTTCTCTAGGTTGGAGTGGGAATGGAGAGCGATCTTGTTTCTCCAGGTTAAGACAACTGAGAGCTCTGTGGTTCAGATCACGGATAGACCCAGAAAGACCCTCCCTGACTCTCTACCGGCCCTGCTGGCCAAGCTTTGGCTACCGTGAGCAGTAGAGTTGTTTGACCCTGTCACCTACCCATATTTTTTAATCTGGAAGCCACATGCATCTGTATCTAGAGGTTTGGTCCTATTGATAATAGTTTGATTCTCTTTATTTTGCATTTCAATCAGTTCTCTGTGGCCATTTGGGTAGGATTTAATTCCTCCAGAAACTGTTGCTTCAGTTGATTTTTCCTTTTTTTTAAAATCCACGCCACAATTTATAACACTACTTTGGACTTTCCAGGCCTTTGAAGGACCCTTATAGTGTTTGCACCCTGACCTCTCATGGCTGCTGTCTTTTTTCCCTTCGAGTGGGGCGGGCTCTTTGGCAGCAGGAATTGATCTGCTCTGTTCAGTGTGATTATCCGCACCCATTACACAGCATTCTCCATTCTGAGCGAGTCATGCTTTAGCCCAAGAATACCTGACAGAGAAATATCTTAAAAATGCGGTTGATCTGGAGATCTTTAGCCTAACCTCCCACACCTTGATTAGACAAAATAAAAATCCCTTAATTCCTTTGGTGATTAGGTCACAGAAAATCCACCTCTTCCCCCTCCCTTGAAACTGACTAGAGCAAGACCTGAAGAGCCTCAACTCCATTTATTTTTTTTATAGCTTCATCTTTCCACCATGGGGTAGACAGTCACAAGGGTCAAGAGCAACCCACTTAATGAAGGCTCCCCACGACCCTGGATCTCGCTATGATCAGTGTAGTGTAGTGAGCAGTGGCTGATGCTTGGAGACTCTGCAGAAAGTGGGCAAATAAGCTCTTTATTTCTGTTTTTGTAAGCTGGGTGAGCTCTTTGGGGATAAGCAAGGGGCTGTGTATTAGTTTCTCAAGTTTGCCTGGAACTGCTTTTGGAAATCTGTCTCCTTTCAACTTACTCAGGATGCCTTAATCATCTGTATGTGGCCCAGTCACCTGCTGTCATCCAGCCCTCCTCCTCTAGGCTCTGGGCTCCCCTTAAATGAGGCTTAGAATGCAAGCTCCTGTGCAAAGCCTCTCTCTCCATCTCTCTCTCCCGCCAGCCCCTCCTCTGGCACTTCACCATCTTGCCTGCTGGTCTCTTGATAAGTCTGCATCTTTTTCCCCTTGAGTAGAGACCCTTCTTCATGGGCCCTTGCCTAATGACACAGAGGCCTTTGGCTTGTGGAATTCCATGACAAGACCTCAAAAATCAGTGTTTTGGAGAACTATCCAGTGCCATCAGAGAAATTCTGGTAAGAGAGACCTCGCGTGTTTGGGAGGTTGGGGGCTCTGGCCTGACAGCCTCAGGTGTCTAGGACTAGTGAAAGGACAGTCAGAGGGGGTGTCTTCCAGGGAACAAGCCATGTCGGATGCATTTGGACTAGTGTCTTTTCCTGTGTGCCTCCTGGCAAGTGAGTGAGAATAGAAAAAGGCCTAAATCCAAGGTCCTAACCCCTAAGGGATGTGCAGGGTGTCTGGAGAGCCCTAGGCATACTTTACCTGAAGGAGACCTCAGCTGTTCTCCCGTGCTGATACCTGCCATGTCCATTTACCCTTTTGATTTGTCATCACTCCGCCCCCGGACTACCCTAGGTGTAACTCCAAAGCTGCAAGTCCGCAGTTTTGCAGCGGATCATCTGCAGCACTAGACACTTTCTTAGAGGCGACACTAGCCTACAGGGGAGACAGCATCCTCCCCAGGGAAAGGATTCTCAGACCAACCTCCCACTGGCCAGCTTCCACCTCTCCCTTCATCGCTTGCCATCCCTCCCACACAGCCTTGTCCCTTAACACAGGATGCTCGGCTACTGTTGCCTTTGTGTAAACTAGCATTTCAGTGAGTCTGAGGAGAGATAGGAAGGCTGGAGAAGCGCTACCTACTGGGAAGTACACTAGCCCCCCATTTAAGCCATGGGGTCACTTGTGATAGAAAAATCTTACACAGCTCAACTGTGCCTTTCGTCTTCTCCATGCGCTCAAACAGGAAAACAAGTGTCCATGGTCTCATGATTCCGCGGGTAGGGGGAGGGAGGTGATGTGGAGGGAGTCACGTGAAGCAGGTGGGACTCGGGCCATATCTGGCAGGAGATCCACCTTGGGCTCCAATCCCTTAAGGAGCAGTGGGTCCCAGGTCTGTGCTACAAACTGCTAGGAATCGCCCCACTGGAATTCTGGGGCAGCTGAGGGTCCAGAGACGTGGAGCTTGCTGAAAGCCAGGAGGCGTGTATGTGCTGGGTATTGGTCAGTCTGTGTCCTTTTGCCTCCACTGTCCTCTTGACCATTCTGTTGTCTGACCATTCCTGCAGGGTGGGGTGAAAAAGCCAAGATCTGGAGTTCAGCCTGAGGTTTCTAGTAAGTGGACCTCTCAGTTTCTCCCCCTTGCACTCCCAGACTCCCCTTGAATACTTACCCTCGCGCCTGGTGCCACTTTATCATCCAGGAATGGGTCGGGCACTTTATTTGACAATCTCTGGTGACTTCACACCTGATTAAAAAAAAAATTATGCCATTATCAAAAGGAGAATCTGAGCTTTTTAATGATCTCGTTCCACATAGCCTTATAAATCCTGTAAATAAGGGGCTCACAAAAGTAATATATTGTGTTATGGAAGATATTTTGTACCTTGCTCTTTCCTAAATCATATAATATTCTAGAAGTTACGCACTTCCCAAATGATTACGATCCTCAACTAGCTTTGTAAGATGGGGGGAGTGGAATATATATAAATATACTATATATTTTCCTAACCTTTCTTCTGGATCCCTTCCTCAAATGTCTGAATCATGATAGAGAAGGAACTGTGTAGGAAAGCTAAGCCTCCTGCCTGCTGGTGTTCTTGCAGTTGCCTTATAAATTCGCAAGCTCTAGGAGTCCTGAACAGAAGGCGGACTAGAGGCACTTTAGCCAATCCCAGAAAGAATCTCTAATCCTCACTGAGAATTCATCTAGAAAAACCTATATTTTTAATGTTAAAATAAGTGGGGTTTCCTGGACCTCTCAGAGTATTTGGATGTCTACAAGTGCTTTTATATTTTGTAACTGTAAAGAGGTTTCATACACACAGAACAGCAGTGGGCGCCTGGTCCACTGCCATCAAACAAGATGACCTTTGCATGTACAAAGATGTTGCATTCAGACTATGAAAATAGTAAATAAAGCTTTGATGCAAGTTGCATTGCAGAAGCTGGAGTGTCCGTGTGTGAATGAATGGGTGCTCCCAGGCAGGCGGACCACCGCCCGTCGAGTTCATTCCTTGTCTGCTGAGCTGGGACCCAGGCTGTGGGAGCAGGAGGCTGGGTTCCCAGACAGGAAGGCTGTGAAGACAAGGCAGGAATTCCATTCAATGTGGAGGGGGATCCTCATTCTGCCCCCTCCTGGCTGCGGGACTTCTTAGCATTGGTTCTCCGAATGGGGCGTGGTGGAAAAGATATTAACAGGCCTAAGATTGAGACTGTGACTCTCAGCTGGGTGGGTTGTGCTCCCTGAGGACTTCTGGCATGAATGGGGGAGGAGGGACAGGCTACTCTCATCTTGGGGGTAGAGACTGGGGCTGACCCTCAACAATGCTCAGGCCTGTCCTACCACAAGGTGTTATCAGGCTCCAAGTGACTTCAGTGCTGACGTTGACAACTCTGGGGAAATGTGTCACAAGGCCACCTATTTCCAGAGTCCAGGTGTCACCCAGGTGTCCTCCCACCATCTCTTGGGATGCAGGGTTATTAGGTTTTGTGCTGATTTGAGGATTTTAGCCAAAACCACAAATGCTATTGCTCAACAATTTACTCTTTGCTTCTTGATCCTTTTCATTCAATAATCATTAAATGCCTGCCATGGGTGAGATGAGTCTAATTTCTTAGAATCAAAAAAATACACACATCTACTCTTTTTTGGTGGTAAACAAGTTGGCTATCATGAAAGCTTTTACTTCTATTGAGGTTAAGAGGAGGTAGGCCAGGTGCTTCTCCTCCTACCTGAAAGGTGAATTTATCTTTCTGAGCTGTTTCCCTAGCTATAAAAGAGGGAACATAATTCCTCACCTTAAGAGGGCTGGATAAGGATTAAACATAGTGCTCATGAAACTGGCACAGTACCTTGCACATAGTAGGTCTCCAATATATGGTAGCTGCTGCTCAAATATACCTACTATAGGAAGGAAATAAATTGTTGCATCTGTCACAGCATCGCGTGGAAATGGCGGATGGGTTTACACACAATTTAGAGGGTATCTAACTTAAAATTTAGGCCACATGACACATGAAAAGAAATTGAGGGATTCTGGGGTTCTTCATTTTAGGAACTGGAGCTGTTGCAAGTTAATGGCACCAAGAAGCCATAGAAAGGGAGTTGGATGTGGTGCCAGGGGTTACTGAGGAGCTTTACACCCAATGCCTCCTGCCTAGTACAGTTAGGCTTCCCACAATACTGATAAGACCCATCTACCCCCGGGAAGCCATCAGAAGCCATGGCTGAGGATAAAGAGGCTCCCTGGGCCCCGCTGTTGGAGAGAAATGGCTTGAACTGAATTGGGAGGACAGGGCGCTGCCTCAGCAGACCGGAGGATGCTGGGCTGTCAGAACGTGCCCATAAATAGGACACTACTTGCAAAAGCAGCCTGAGCCTACAGACTGGCACCAAGGTTTTTCCCAAGGTGGCAGCAACAGGTTCAGTCTGGAGTGGGTGAGGGTGGGGAGGCAAGCAACCTGGCACCCCACACCTTTGTTGCTCCCCATGAGAAATGAACGCTGACCCCCTGCACAAACTAAGGGCTCAGCTGAGGAGCTCAGCTAAGCCCATCTGGTGTCAGAAGGTGGTGATCTGGCTTGAGTCCCTGCCAAGGGGAGCAGGCAAATACGGGGACTCCCGAGTGTCCTGAGAGTCCTCTGGGTGCCAGAACAGCTTGAGTCTAGGCGCAGGCAGCCTACTAGCCACAGGATCTGCATCACTGGGCCTTCATCTGGGTATGTGGGGCTTGCAACCCAGCTTGCCAGGAGCGGGAATTCAGGAGCCATGGGTGGTAGCAGCTGAGTTGGGGTGTAGGTGTGGGTGCCTCAATGACCGCTGTGGATGTGTGACATGGGCACATGTATGTGAAACAGAGTGTCCTTGTACACTGGGTGGGGTGTGGCTTTCCAGTGACCAAGGGGGCTTGTGTGTGTGTGTGCTTGTGTGTGTATAAGGGAAAGAGAGAGAGAGAGAGAGAGAGAGAGAGAGAGAGAGAGAGAGAGATGAGAACCCTGACAGGAGACTCTGAGTGGCTGGTATATGTCATGGTCCCTGAAGTTGGGAACTGTCTGTGTCTCTTTAAGTGGCTGGTACACAGCAGGTGCTCCATAAATGTGTATGAACTGAATAACAGAAAACATGGAAACTGACTGAGCACTTGGGCCGACATCGTGCTCTTGGCTGTCACCTGTTTATGCTCCAGTCTTCTGTTTATCCTCACCACCCAGGGCAATGCCAGGTGCTGGGTGGGTGCTCACGGAATGCTAGTGAATGAAGTAATGAGTGAATAGACCGTGACAACCTCGAGTGTGGGGGGACTGCAGAGGAAGTCCCTGTGCCCACCAAGCTAGCCCTCTGACCAGGGTGCGGAGATGGCATGTTTGCACAGTTCTGAGAGCCCTGCTGGGGGGAGCAATTGAATGTGGGGGAGAAACATGGACTTTAGAACCTGATCCTGGCTGCTTCCTTATGCCTTGGGAGGTGGCTTCATCTCTCTGGGCCTTAGGACTCTCTGCTGTGAGATGGGGATCCTGATCTCAGACTGTACCAATACATGAGGCCTTGGTAAGTGTTCAGCAGATGTTTGTTGAATGACTAAATGTAGGTGGTGAGTGATGGCCACATTCCCTAGGCAGCAAGGTTATGTAGCTTGATCTCCAGTCACATTAGTTTCTCCTGGGTGAACCTGGCAACTCCATTTCCTTTTGCTGAAACCAGAGGTGTTCCTGGGGAGATGGCAGAACAGCATGGAGCACCAGAGCAGGCTGCAGCTGGCAAGAGCCATGGAGTACAAGGTACTGGGCAAGGATGGTTCCCAGGGGTTCTGGGCCCAGGGCTGCTCTAGGGCCTCATGGTCAGCTTTTCCATCCAGCAACCTTCCCAACCTGGGGGCCAGGAGGACACCGCACCGCCATGCCATAAATTCACTTTGTAACCTCGCTGCTTTGTCCCTCCCTGTGCCTTCTTCTGCAAAATGACACCCTGACTATCTCAACTGTGCACCGAGGCCTACAGTTTCAGGAGACATGGCATTGACTCTCCTGCCTAAACTCTTTCCAGGTTCCCAACATTCCCAGGCCTCGACAGCACCATCTTGAAAATGGGAACCATGAGAATTGCTTGCCAAAGACCCTTCTGGGGCTGGGGAAATATGAGAACTGGAAGTGGTTGGCTTTGCTCTCTCTAAACTCTCCCTGGGGGTCTCAAATTGAGTATGGGTTGGGGATGGGTTGGCTAAGGAGATAACAGGGGGCAGGGCACTTTCGAGTGGTGGTTCAGGGCTGGGTGGCTTTGACAAGAGGAGTGGCACCATGAGGGGAAGGGCAGCTAGGAGGTCCACCTGGCTCTGGACCTCACTGGTGGATGATTCCTTCCCTTGCAAGGCCTCAGCTTTCTCCAGCCTTGACCTAATGACTTTGAAGGTGCTGGAGAAGTCTCCAGAAATGAATGCCTACCTTTCCTGGTTCCTTTTGTCATCTGTGGGGGAGAAGAGAGCCAGTTGACTTAATAAATCCTGGAGTTTCCACTTCACTTGCTGTGTGTCCCATGACAAATCATTTACCCTTCTGAGCCACCTGTAAAATGACCAGAGCAGCTGTTCCCAGAGACCTTCCACAAAGGCAGTTTGTGCTTCTAAGTTAGTGAAAAAGGAAAACCCTCCCTCTACCTTTGCAACCCCTTCCTCACTGAGCGTAAGACAAGCAAAGATCAATCCAGCAGTTGCAAGCTGCGGCTTCATCTGTCCCGGACACGGTTTTTTAAAGGGAAAAACGTCACATTAAAGAAAATACAGACTCCTGACCTCTGGAAACAGTTAGAATGGAGCCCACTTTCCCTCCTGACCATAACTGGCTTCGTTTTCCTATAGTCCTCCCTGAATGCTTCCTCTATTGGGTCCCAGTCTGCTTCCTGCCAGGTACCTGCCTTGCAATCCTTGGTTAATGAGGTTCCTGGAGGGGTTCTCGTCCATGGCCAGCAGGGGGCACTACAAGCCCGCAGAGACAGAGCTGATGGAGCAGAATGATGGCGCCTCCCTGCAAAGCTCCAAGGAGGAGCTTGCAGGACAGAGGCTGGGGGCTCAGGACCCTGCCCTTCCAGGTGACCGCGTATGAAATGGAGACCTTCCAGGGCAAGCGGCGTGAGCGCTTGGCCGAGGGCCCCAACCTGATGGGCTGCCTGCTCGAGAAGGTGGCTCCATCCAGGTAGAGTCAGGCCTGCCCTGGGCTTCCTGCCGTCAGGAGGTCTGGACTGGAGCTCTAGACCTGCCGTGGCCTTAGTGACTCCCTGGCCGTCTCTGCCCTCAGACTTGCACCTATAAAATGAGCTATTGGACTGGGGTTCTCTTAGACTACGCCTAGCTCTCGAGCTCTGTGGCAAGGCAGGATGCAGGGAAAGAGAACAGAGGAAGACTCAGCCCTAGCTCATTACCTGGCCCATGGGATGAAGTCACTCTTGTTTTAATAGTAACATCTAAAATTTAACACATTTTACATTACTGAATCCTCACAACCGCCCTGGGTGGGGAGGGGCCGTCCTTCCCACCTGACAGATGAGGAAACAGGTCAAAGCTGCAGAGTGCCCCATCCATGTCCACCCAGCAAGAAGGTTTCCAGGTGGGCTCTGAATTCTCACCTTCCAGTCGAAAATCCCATCTCCTGCTCCAGCCTCCTGGGGATCCTGGTCAAGGAGGCAAGGAGCTTCACCTCTGGGCCTCTCTTTTTCTTACCCATCCAATGAGAATCACAATGCCTGTATGTCAGAGAGCTTTGTGGACATGAATGTAAGTGATAACATGTAATAATAACATGAATGTAAATAATAGCATGTAAATAATAACAATGTAATAAGAAGGAGGAAGATGAAGAGAATAAGAATTGTCTATGAATACCAACACTCCAGGCATTGCATTCAAAGACTTTTTGAGCACCCTATATGGAGGCCACACATAGATGCTCAGTAATATTCCCCCGGGTGGGCTGTTAGCCCAGCATCTCAGGCCTCTCCAGTAAGACCTCCAGTCACAGGAGCAAGGTCAGTGTTAGGGCTGGAGGGAGGTGTGAGGTCAAAGGTCATCAGGTCTTGGGCCTTCCCTCACTAACTTGGGGACCCCTCAGCAGCAGTGGAATTGACCCAGGCCACTTCATTCCTGCAGGTGGCTGGCCTTTGAACGCAGGGCCTCTGTGGGGAGCAATTTGTTCTGGAGAAGAGGGATTACCTCTCTGGGATACCTAGTCCAAAAACCACTGCAGTGACAGCCTCCTGTCCTTCGGACCTCTATACATTGTAAGTGTAAGTGCTGCCCTCAGGGGCTTTCTAGAAGCAGGATATGCAAGGACCTGGTCTGGCAAGCTCATTTCACAAGGTCAGTTGAGGGCTGGCCAGTATCGACCTGACCTTGGAAGGATTTCTTGTCAGTTGCTTGCCCTTTTGTTCCACTGGATTACCAGGAAGGCTTGACACACCAAGTCACAGGGAGAGCAGCTGGGAAACCACTGCAGAATCCAGGGGAGTCATGATGGTGTGACCCTGTCCCTCCCTCTTCCATGCAGCAGTAATTCTGTCCCCGTACGCTGAGAGGTCTTCTACAGCAGCCCCCATCCCCTTCCCATCGCTGACCATCACTGCTCTGGGCCTCAGTGGCCTCATCTGGCTACAGGGCAACCCCATGGCAGCGCCAGGCATACATGGAAGAGGAAAGGCATGTCCTGTCTGACAGGCTGGCGGCAGCTGGCTTCCTGCAAGCAGGCCAAGAACCAGTTGTTACCCTTTCCTCACCACCACACGATCCTGCATCCTTTCCCTGACTCTGTTCTCTTGTGCCCAGAACTTGTCCCAACCTCTATCCCTCCCCATGACTGGCACAGCTGGCTTGTGGGAGGCCTGTGGGGGCCGCAGGAAGGCATTGAAAAGAACACAGCAATTTTCAGCTACTTTAGACGGCATATTGCAGACAGACCTGCATGGCGGAGAAATCACCTTGAATTATCTTTGTCTTGGTGCATATGGGAGAGTTGGGGCAGGGACAGATGAAAGGCAAGGGTTGACCTCCCCAAGTGGAGATAGCAGCACCCCCAATTCTCCACCCTTTCCTCCCTGCATGATCGCTCCTCCTCCCTCTCCCAGTCAGTGCTCTCGAGCATGTTTCAGAAATCAGCGTTCACTGAATGCCACACCCAGAGCTAAGGCCTTTTCATGCATCACCTTGCTGAACCCTGGGAATGACCTCGGTGGGTAGACATGATCATTAGTCCTATTGAACAGATGGGGAAGCTGAGCCTGGGGTAGGTGGCATCACCTTCCCAGGGCTGCGCCAATTTGAAGCCATAGAGTTGGGGTTTGCACCCTGCATGTTCACAGCAGGACAGCTGACACTGCCCTTCAGGGCCAGGAAACATCGCAGAGAAGAAAATAGCAGCAGCGGCCCCTATTATAAGGATCACACAAACAGCCACCACTCTACAGCCCCTACTGTGCATCCAGCACACACTGGGTGCTTTATAGAATTGTGTCTCATCCATCAGGTGATGAGGATCCTCCTTTGCAGAGACAGAAGGCCAGAATGAGGCCCAGAATGTTGAAGTAAATTGCTCCAAGTACCACAGCTTTAGGGTGGGGCCAGGACTTCCCAAACCTCACTTTTTCCCTTGCACCCCTCATGGGGCGTGGTGGGGGGATCAAACATCCTCTCTCCAACCTGGATTCCAAGGCCCAGCACTGCTTCCTTTCCCGTACATGATCCTGGACTCAGTCAAGACACAGACTCTCTGCAGGGAAGATGTACCCCCTGGAGGAATTCAAGTAAAGACCAGTGTTTGTAGGCAGTAGGGCAGGGAGTAGGAAAGCAAAAGGTTTCCCTGAACCGAGGGGCTTAGGGCCCTCAGAACATCCCGAAAGAACAGAAGGTGCTGGAACAACCTGGCACCTTCATGATGAAGTCCACTCTCCCTGGGGCTGCCCCATCAGGCCCCTGCCCACCTAGCTCGGACCCTGCCTGTTGGGGCCACACGAGCTCCCTTAAGCTGCTCATTGCACATGGACACTTTCTGCTTGGCACGCTCTTCCCAGCCCACTTCCCAGGTTCATTTCTTCCCACCCCCCAGGACTCTGGCTTTTCCTGGGAGCTTTCCTGGATGATCCAGGCTGGGCCATGTCCTCTGCCTAATGCCTAATAAATAATCATTGAATGGCTGTCTGTCTGGATGTCGGCCCTGCCACATCACCCTCTGGGGCCGCTGAGATTTGCCTCAGTGTGCCTGCCCTCAGGGCTTGACTGTCCCCACCAGTGAACCTGACATGCCCCCGGTCTTGGCTGCTGGACAACTGATGCATGCAAAGTGGGCATCTCTTTGCCCAGCTGCTCCCACAACCCCCCCACCCCCAGTGTGGCTGAATCTGAAAGCTAATGGCATTACCGTGTGGAGACAGGATGTCTGTGGACATTTGCTGACCAGGACTTTAGGGCAGGCTTAACCCAGCATTGTTACTCTGCTTTCCCAGGGAGGCGTGGTCCCGCATCTGGCACCGGCACCCCCCGGGAAGGTATAAATGCTTCCCCCATGGGTCAGGCTTCACAGGCACACTTGGGACCACTGTCTCTGGTAAGAATGCCTCTTGCTTGCTTTGCCTTTTTGTTCATCCTCTTCTCTGACGAAGTGTGGGCGACCTGGGTTCAAATCCAGGTGCTACCGCTTTCTCACAAGGTGACCTTGGGCAAAGACTTCAACCCTCTAAGCCTCAGTTTTCTTTTCTGTGAAGTAGGGAGGCAGGTCCTAAGACCTCCTGTGTTGTGGGAGGTGACTTGAAGGTAAGATAGGTGAATGAGGCAGCCTGGTTCCTGGCACTCGGGCAATGTTCTTTATTAATATTAAACAGTATCAGTTTTCTCATTTTGCAGGCAACTGAGGAGGATAATCTAACTTTGAGGGTTTTGCAAGTGGAAGGACTCAAACCAGGGAAGGTACAGCATTATTTCTAGGGTACTCCATATAGGGGCTCTCTCTGCATGGACAAATATGCCCGAAGGGGCACCATGCGCCCAGGTTGGGGAGCACTGGGGTGCCTGGGAAGTAGCCCTGACTTTCTGAGAGCTTCCAGCAACAGCGGCTGGAGCTTGGTGGAGACGAGCCGCACGACGCCATCCCCCTGCGTCCACCGAGCACTGAGTGTTCTGGGACCACTGCCAAGGCACGGTCTCCGCTTTGTGTGATTGAAGCGTCACCGCTGCTCATAGATGTTGCTCTGCACCATTACTGTCTCCATTTTTCAGAATGGGAAGTTGAGGCCGAGAAAGCATGGCCTGCCCTGACCTCAGCGCTGGTGAGCGGCGCGGCCAGCATCTGGGCTGAAGCGAGGGCACTTCCTCTCTTTCAGCGGGAGAAGGCCCGTGACCAGGACCACAAGGGCCCCGCGAGGTCCTCACGGCTGCTCCCCCCTTGTATTCCAGGTCGTTCCTGCACGGGACAGTCCACCATGGCCTCAGACCACCAAACCCCAGCAGGCAAACAATACCCCCTCAACCCCAAGGTGGGTACCATGAAGGTAGGGGGGCAAGTAGAGCCCCTCCTCGAGACTCCGTCTCCCTTCTGAAGCGTGGACTTGGTATCTTCCTTCCCAGGCTCCCACCTCTGTCCCTGAAAGTTCAGGCCGGGGCATTAATAAGCTAGCCCTTAATCTCCATATTCTTGATTCTTCTCAGTAAGTAACACTGGAAAACAAACATGAGCCCCCGTTTTATAGAAGGGGGGGCCGATGCTGCATGAGCTGGATGCCAGAGAGGCAGCATCAGGGCCCATTCTGCTGACACATCTGTGGTCCCATCAGTGAGCACAAAGGCTGAGCTGAGCCCCTGGAATGTGTCTCTGAGGCCAGCGGGCTCCCTTCTCGGCCTTTGTCTGAGCTAATCCCTGGCCCAGGAGACAGGAGCATGTTCACCCACCAGCTCTCACCACGCAGATGCGGACTGCCCTCCAGTGGGGGACTGCCCTGAGGGGGGCTGCCCTCTAGGGGCCACTGTCCTGAGCCCACTCTTCATCCAGTGGCAGCTCCCTGCACAAATGTAACTGGAAGATCTCTGTCCCCCAATTTTCCCTGGAAGCATGAAAGGGGGGAATAGCCTCCCCAATAGCACTTGGGGGCCCCTTTCCATCACAAGCCTCAGTTTTTAATGACAGGGATCCTGCCAGTCCCTTTCCTGGGGCTGATGAGAGGGCCAGGTGGGGCGAGGGGAGTTAAGTCCCCTTAAGAAGTTTCCCAGGGGGGGTCAGAAGGAGACCTGCAGAGCCCGTGGGGCCTAAAGAAAGGGCAGAGGCATGTGCCCTTAGGGTTGAAAGGGAGTGGGGGAGGGGATGTACTGGGCAGCTCTGTGGAGCAGAGGAGGCCCCAGCAGCATGGTCTGGCCTCTTGTACCACGGGCCACAGCCCAGGGGCACCAGCTCACCTGGGAGCTCACTCTAATGAGTGCTAATGCAGACCCGGGTCTCTGTCTCACACCTGCTGCCACAGGAACTGTGTTTTCCCAAGCTCCTGGGTGCTTTGTGTACTTGTTAGAGTTTGCAAATTACTGCTTTGGTGGAAACAGCATCACACAAGCTTGGGCCCTGATTTCAGCTCCAATACTTACCCACTTGGGATCTGTACTTAGGCCTTGATTAATAGAATCAATGCCTCCCCCCACAGGAATACTGTGTGCTAACTGCTATGCTTTCCTGAATGCTTCTAACAACCCCATGAGGTAGGTCTCTATTTCCCATTTTAAAGATGAGGAAACTGAGGCAGAAGGAAATGAATCCTGGTTCTAGGTCTCACAACTGGTAACTGGCAGAGCCAGGACTCTCTGGCTGAATGTTTGGTTTATGCCTCCAGAGGATGGAGCCCTTCACTAGCCTGCAAAATCCTCTGAGTCCCTGTACCCTGCTCCCTGCTCCCCCTCCTCCCGATCGCCACATGGTTGACTCTCCTCCTGCTGCAGATCATCATCTTTGAGCAGGAGAACTTCCAAGGCCACTCACAGGAGCTCAGCGGGCCCTGCCCCAACCTGAAGGAGAGCGGCATGGAAAAGGCAGGCTCCGTCCTGGTGCAGGCTGGCCCGTACGTACCTGGGGGCCTTGGCTGGTCTGGGGTTGTGGAGCTGGAGGGACCTGCCCTCACTTGCTCCTTGACGATGTGATCAAGGAAAAGGATTTGGTGTCTGGCAGCCTATGGCGAGAATTTGTGTTTTGGAGTCGGGGAGAACTGGGTTCAAATCCCACTTCTGGGCTATATGATGGAGGATCAGGAACTTTCCCCTCTGAGTCTGTTTGCTCCTCTGTAGGATGAGGATAGCCACATCCTCCTGGGGAGGGCTGCTGGGGGAGACTGATGTCGACACCCTGACACTGAGGGCAGCCACTTCCACCAGGGAGGAGGTGGACACGCCACTTTCAAGGGCTTCTTAGAACTGCTGTCCCTGCCTCTAGGAGATTGTCCCTGTCCCGGGATGTCGAAAGCTGGCTGTCCCAGCTCTGCATCTGCTCATCCCTCCCCAAATCCAGATCTTACTGGGTCTTAGAATATTGGCTGGCACATTTGGGGGCTTGGGCCTCTGAGCAAAGGGGCCGCTCCTGTGGTTCCCTGACCACTCGGTCTCTGTAAGAGCCTCAGGGATCAGGGGTGACCACTGGTGATCCCACCCACAGGTGAGTGAGTCAACAGGTCAGCAAATCTGGTGTAGCTGGGGCTCCTGGGTGACCCGCACCACCCTTCCAGATTCTTGGGGGTCATGACAGAGTCCAGTGACTTTCTGGGGTCCGTCTGCTGATGTGGAAGGCACAGCCGGGGAGCCCGCCTGTCTCCCGTATCCCCCCATGCTCAGGGTACCTTCTCTTCCAACACCACACCTGATTCTCAGCTGACTTAAAATTTTTGGACAGAAGAAATCTCAAAAATGTATTCACGTGACTCTGTTGCCTTTTAAAATTGTAACTTTTGATTTTTTTATTAATTGTTATTTATTGTTAAAAATAAGATGGCTGAAGGCAAAATATCCTATGACTAATCTTACTACTGGGAAGCCGGTTCTGGGAAGACTTTGCTATAAATCTAGACGTGGCTTTGTATGTATGTATTTATGATCTGATTTGGATTAAATCTATTTGATCCAAATAGATCATGTCATATGTGCTGTTTTATAATTCATTCTGAAAACTTTACAAGATATTGGGAATTCTCCCCATGTTATTAACTCGTATTTTATGTAAATGCTATTCAAAGAATTTTTTTGAGGTAAATCTGTGTGAGGATCATAGAAGTATGGGGGCTGTTTTGAAATGCAGCTTCCTGGTCCTCATCCCAACTCCATGAAAGCACATTGTGGAGTTGGAGCCCAGGAAGCTGCATTTCACAAATTCACCTGATGATATTTCTGCCCCTGTCTAAGTTTCAGAACCCATGTTTTACCTCATTATTTTTCCTGGCTTTGTAACATTTCCTTATGAGATATACCACAATTTCCTCAACCAGGCCCATTAGCTCTTGACACCTGCTTGAAGCAAAGTTGCTGGATCAAGAGCAAAACCCTCTCCAAAAGCAACAAAAAACATAGTTCCCTTCCAGCAGAATCTAGATTACCATCCTGATAACTGCATGGCCCCAGGATGACATACTTGTCCCTGCAGTGAAAAACCCCAGGAGGGGCTTTTTGAAGTTTGTGCCCATTTATCCCCCATCCCCTCTTTCCCCTTTTGTCTGTTAGCTGTGCCCAGTGGATGGTAACCTTTGACATCTGCCACTGTGGGCAATCAGGGCTGTTTGTCTTTCGTCAGCTGGCTGTTCATGTACCAGCATCGCTGGCCCTGCCCAAGAGCTGTATATATCTGGATTTGTTGCTAGGCAGTATTTTGGGCTTCCTGATTTCTTGATAGAGTTCCAGATGTCTGAAGTCAGCATAGCACTGGGTTCTGGATAATACAGGTGATTATGTTCTTGAGTTTGCTGTGCTTGGATTTAATGGGGTTACTTATTATTCCTTGATGAGCTGGACAAGTATAGTTTTGGGGTCTGAGAAGTAGTGAGGATCTCCCCAAAGGGAGTTTGGAGTGGGTCTGACCTGCCTCTCTGTCTCCATTGCAGCTGGGTGGGCTATGAACAAGCCAACTGCAAGGGTGAGCAGTTTGTGTTTGAGAAGGGTGAGTACCCCTGCTGGGACTCATGGGCCAGCAGTTGGAGGATGGACTCCCTGAGCTCCCTGAAGCCTATCAAAGTGGTGAGCTACTGAGACCTCCAAACTTCTCACTCTCTTTGCCACCTTACAGTCAGAGGTCTAGGGACCAGGAGGGGGACTTCATTTCTGCCTCTGTGCACCTTCTGATTGGTGGGAGGCTTCCTTGTGTGACGGCTCTGAGCTTCAGTTTCCTTCGCTGTCAAAGGGGGATATTAGTAGCTACTGTGCTGAGATTCCAACAAAATGTAATCTGAGAGTTGCCACCATGATAGCCTAGGGGATCCAGTCACAAGATTTCCAAATGCCCCAGGGCCCTGTTCTCTGTGGATTGAGCTTTCCAGGGTAGTACAACTCCCTTCACAGAGCAATTGCTTAAAAACCACTTTCGTTATATTAAAAGAAATTCTGAACTTGAGTCTGGAGGAGAAGGCAGTTTGGTTCTTGTTCTCAACTCATGCTGCTCTGATCCTAGTTCTTACTAGCATTGAACTCTCCAGGAGAACAAAGAGCCCAGCAAAGCTCAGTTGCAATAACAATTGGCTGGGCATTCCATCAACCTGAGTTCCTGTGTTGGCTCTGGCACGTCCAGTTGTGTGACCATGGTCAACTCACTCTCCCTCACCAAATCTTCTCACCAGCCAAATGGCATGAGAGTAGTTTGAAGGAGTAAAGGAACTAAGAGAAAATGCTGTAGGAATAAAGGTTGGGAAGAGAAGTGGAGATGAAGCCAAAACATCTCAAGTGCCACTAGAAGCACCACAAATCTCTGTGTGTGTGTGTGTGTGTGTGCATGCGTGTGTGTGTGCATGCATGTATGTTGCCACTTAAAAAAGAATGAGGCTTTGGAAGGCAAAATGACATCGCAGAATTGAATATCCCCAACAGTGTAGAGCCTGTTACATGAAATAGCCCAGCAGGAGGTCAACAGATGACTGCTGCTGGAGGCCCCTTGCCCTGGTGAGAGGGTCGGGCAGGGGAAGATGGGGCATGTGATCCCAACTCCGCTCGCCCTCAGTCCTCTCACTCACACCTACTTTCTTCCACTTCCTGTCAACAGGACAGCCAAGAGCACAAGATCACCCTCTATGAAAACCCCAACTTCACGGGGAAGAAGATGGAGATCATAGATGATGACGTGCCCAGCTTCCATGCCCGTGGCTTCCAGGAGAAGGTGTCCTCCTTGCGGGTGCAGAGCGGCACGTGAGTCAGGCCCAATCCTGGCTCTCCTGCCTCCAGCCCCTGGGTGCCAAGCCCCACTGGCTCTGCGCCCTGGCGATGTGTGCTCTCCGCCTCCATGTTCCCCTGGGGAAGTAGGCCCAGGATCACCAGCCCATCGGTGCCTTTCGGGCTCTAACGCTCCACCCAGCCCCTTGGGCAATCCCCTCCCATTGGCAGAGCAAGAACATGGCCTTAACCTCATCCCCAAAGGTCAGGATGGAAAATGTTAGTGGGACTAAGGGGAGGCAGAACGGGGGTGGCAGAGGGCCAGTGTGAGCTAGGCCATCTTAACAGAGCTGGGACAGTGCCCCCACACTGCCCTTCTACTGCACGAGTTCCTGAGTTCGGAATCAGGTGGTGTCCGTTCCCACCGGATTAGCTTCTCTGGCCAGAAACCCTGGCCATCAGCTGTGGGGACTTTCTCATTGTATGAGATTGGGGGTCCACAGACATGCTTTGGCAGTGGGATGCTGGAGCCAACACTCAAACTTTCAAATTTTGTTGAGTTGGCTGTTTAATTTGGTATCTTGAAGTCAATCATAGTGGGAGTATTTACACCACAGAAATTAAAAAATGCTACAAATTGGTACCATTTTCCCCATACATACATGTATATCTATGTATGTATGTATATATGGCTTTGGGGCAGGGGTGTGGGGTGTCAAGCTTTTAAAATAATTTGCAAAGCGTTCATGTGTTCGCTTCTTCCTTCATTCACTCTTGTATTCATTCACCAATTCAATTTGGCAAGTGCCAAGCCCTGTGTTAGGTGCTGTCTGCCTTGTGTAGTGAACAGTCTAGATGGGTCTAGTCAAATGTCAACAGTCTGAGTCCACATAAATCTAGACTGTACTTCCCTGAGGAAGGGCTTCTTGAGCTGAGACCCAAGACAGAGTAGCACCTGCAGGAGTGTTGAGGGAAGGAGCCGCCCCTCCAACACAGAAAATAGCACATGCAAAGGCCCTGCAATCTCAAGAGCCTGGTGAGTCTGAGAAAATCACAGAGGCCAGAGGGGCCAGAGCACAGAAATGTGGGGTGTGAGACTGAGAATTGGGGCTGGAGGTCCTTGTAGAGCAGGACTGTGTGGCACTTTGGGGTGAGAGGACTCTGTTAAGATGGCCTAGCTTTCATCATACATGCAGAAGACCTAGTGACACCCTAAATGTTGATGGCTTCAAACGGTGAAGGAATTACAGAGGATCCTGGTGCTTTTTTGCTCATTCTATTTGGCCTTGCAGTCAGACTTGGAGTTGGGGTTCCAGTGGACAGAGGTGGAGGAGACCTGTCTCTTACTCTAAGCTTAAGCGAGCCTGACATCACCTCTTCGTTTTCCCCCAGTATCTGGCCTTCAGTCAAAAGCTTCAGGAGGTAGTGAGCTCCCCATCAAGATGAGGAATAAAGTAGCTGCTGGGTGACTGCTCAACACCCAGAAAATGTGAACTGATTGGGAAGCTTTGCCCTAAAATAATGGATTAAAGGTTCTCTCTCTGTGTTTCACCTGGTCTCTCCGCGTACCCCGCCGTCCTACCTCTGACTCCTCAGGTGGGTCGGCTACCAGTATCCTGGCTACCATGGGCTGCAGTACCTGCTGGAGAAGGGAGACTACAAGGACAGCACTGACTTTGGGGCCCCCACCCCCCAGGTGCAGTCCGTGCGACGCATCCGGGACATGCAGCGGCACCAACGAGGCACCTTCCACCCCTGCAACTAGACCCCCAGGACCACCCACTCCCCACGCCCCAGAAAGTGAATAAAGTGTGACTTGCAGCTTGTCTGCTGGTGGTGTCTTTTACCCCTGGTGGGAGCTGGGTGCTGCTTGCAGGAGAGAGCCAGGCACCGCTGAGGGTGGGGCGCGGAGCCTGCACTTGTCTTAAAGCCCCGCGGGTATTTAGCTGTGTGCCTTGGGCAGGTCATTCAGTCTGTCTGAGCCAGTGTTTCTTGGCCTGTCTGAGCCCCTCGGGCCCGTGAGTGGCTGGCTTGGTGGACCTCCTGGCTCCTCTTACCTGCTGGCATGGGAGTCACTCCCAAATGCACCGTGCAGTTATGCCTGGGGCTCGGAAGTCTTTACTTCTGTGTATCTCTGCCTATTGGCCTATGTCTCTGTCTCTCACTCTGCCTCTCCCCTTTTCTGTTTTTTTGTTTGTTTGTTTGTTTCTCTCCTTTCCCTCTATCTCTCCTCTTGATCTTCCCTCCTCCCTCCTCTGTGTGTGTGGGGGGGCTCCCCTACTCTCCTCTCTGGGTGAACAGCTCTATCTTTTTAAAAAAATTTATTTATTTATGCATACAAGAACTGGGGTACAGGCCAGAGGTGCGGGGGGCCGGGGGTTAGAGGATTCACCAGAGACAGAGTGGGGAGCAGAACAGGCAGACTGACTGAAATACACTGCTGAGGGGAGCAGCGGGCGAGACAGGAGAGGTCTGCAGTGCCATGTGGGTTGCTCCCTGGCCGGCCGGGGATCGAACTCTTGCTGCAGAGGCTGCGCATATGGTGCGGTGCTTACCCCCTTGCGCCACCAGGGAGGCCCAATAGCTCCTTCTCTGCTCCTCCGGGGCTGCGCTCCCCGCTCCTTCCCGCCCTCGGGGGCCACCTCCCACTCCAGCCACCAGGGGTCAGCAAAGCGCCACCCTGAGGACCTCCAGCGCTGATTGGAGCCGAGCTCTGTCAGTCAAAGCGGAACCAGGGTTGGGCGGGGCCTCGGCGCCTGCACCCCGCAGCGGGGAACCCCAAGCTCCGGGAGTGGGCGCGGAGCGCAGACCTAGGGAGCTGGGGTTGCTGTGTTTCTGCAGCTCCTCTGCCCACAGCTTGCTAGGAGTGGGAACGACCAGTAAGCCCAGCAGCGATTCTTGGCGTGAGGAAGGTGCTCCAAGGCGCCACTTCGCTGTCTCCCTGTCCCTGGAAGTAACTAGCAAAGCCTCCTCCTGCCCCTCAGCCCGTGGAGGACACTCTGTGCCTTGGTTTCCCCTGAAATGGAGAAAGTGCTGATGCTGGCTCACGGGCTTGCAGTGAGGAATCCATAGATGCCAGGTCTTAGGTCTATTGTCCTGTGCAGGTGCACAGGGGCGCTCAGTCTGTGCACAGAGGTGATACGTGCTAAGGGGAGGCTCTTGGAAGGCGGTTTTAAGTTGGGCTTTGTAGGAGGATAGGAGTTTGCCAGGGGGCAGGAGGACTCCCCCCATCTTCTTCCACCCCCACCCCACAGTTCACTTTGCCCGCACCCTCGCCCTCTGCTTGCTCTGCCCTTTCTGCTCTTCCTCCTGGTTCTCTGACCTCTCCTCTGTCCCAAGCTTCCTCCACTCCACTCCCCACCTCCTCCCTGCCTGCCTCTTTCCTTCCACGCCCCTCCTCACTGTCATGTCTGGGGCTGTGGGAGCGTGTATCACTGGGGGTTCCGAGGGCTGTGATCCCAGGCGCCTTGGTCCCCTGACAGCAGACCCACAAGTGATGATTCCTGGGTGGAGGCGGCACAGATGCAGGACTTTCTGCATCTGTAGTTCTTTCGTAGCTTTCCCCCTGCTTTCTGCTCCAGCTGGAAATGCCCACTGAGCATTTATCATGATGGACGTTCAATGTTTTGATGGATACTTACTTCTTTAATGTTGCTTTCCCCATGGGAACGAAAGCTCACTGAGGCATGGCTCCCCTGCCTTGTTCCATCACCCCCACCTCCTACTGTGTGGTTAGAGTAGGCATGTGGAAGTGATTTCCTGCTGATTTACTCATTCCCTGCCATTTTAAAGATGAGCAAATGAGGCTTAGAGAGGCGGAATTGACTGGCTCAAGGCCACAGATAACAAAGTAGAAATGCTGGAATTTTGGACCCTGGGCCCTACCTGATCCACAGTCATTGGCCTCTCCAGCTGCCCTTGCACCCCATACTCCAGACTTACCTCCAGCCACTCTGGGAACCCTTTCCTGACTGCCCCTGGTCACTGTGCAGCCCCACGCTCCTTCTGGCCTCTTCCTGGTCCTGAGCTGAAGGTCAGGGGATGCCCTTTGAAGCTTCCAGTACTGGCGATGCTTATGGGCAAGGCGTCCTGACCCCGGCTTTAAAAATAGGGAGACTGAAATAGCTGTTTCCATGCCTCCTCCTCACTGGGGCTTTGATGCTGGCTGTTGGGCTAGGCTGCTGGATCCCAGTGTCCCAGAGTCCCGAGCTGCTCCCAACAGGCCCTGTGGGAAATCTGGGCTGGAAGCCAGGCTGGGTCAGAGGCACAGGCCATCAGGGTAGCATCCTGCTAATACCAAACATTTGCTCCCCAGTTCAGAAAGGGACTTGACTGGTGAGAGACTGGAGCCCGAAGGACATCCTGAGTGGGGAAGGGTGTGTGATTTTCCTGGGGTGGTGTCCTGAGTTTCTATCACCTTTCTGACCTCCTGAATTTCTGCTAAATCCACTCACTTCTCACCAGTCCCTCAATCCTGGCCTGTACCTTCTCTTCTTGATGGGGGTCTGTAGGGTAAGTGAAAAGGTATCAGGCTTTTCTCCCCTCCTGCCATCAGGATAGATGATGGGTCCTTGCAGTCCTGAATGCATGCCTGATGGCGGGCACCTGGAATAGGGTGTGGGCAGAGGTAGGTGGGATTCACCTGGGCTAAGACTGGGCTTATAAGGGAAGCATCATGGAGACACCAGCAGAACAGAACTACCAGAAGGAGGAGAACCCGAGAGAAGGCCAGAGAGAACCCGAGAGAAGGCCAGAGAGCTCAGATAGAGTGAAGACTTGCTGGGGGCTGGGAAGCCTGCCAGCTCCCCAGCCCCCAAGCACCCCTGCCTGCCGTGTGCCTGGTAAATCCCAATAAAAGCCTGCAAAAGTCCACTCTTCTCCTTTACCCGGTCTGCTGAATCAGAAAACCTGCTCAGTGGCCTTCCTGCCCTTATAGGGTCCCAAAAGCCTCCTCACAGTTCCTGGCCTGCCCTCTGTCTCCCTAGTGTCCATTCACCATGTGGGCACCTCCTTGAATTGATGACCACCAGCCCCATCCAGGGCATAGCCTTGGGGATCAGGCACAGGAGCAGCGGGGTGCTTCCTTCCCCTTCATAACAGGGTGCCTCAACCAACTGAGCCTCAACAGTCTCATCTGAAAACAGTGTGCAGCAGGAGATGAGGCCTGTGAAGACAAAAGCCCAGGACCAGTGTTCGCTTGCGGTGAACTCCTCACTATTGTCTTTATTTTTTGGTGAGACATCTGATTAAGATGTATTAGGGTAAGTTGTGAGGGAACTTAATGTCTTAAAAAATGTCGGTTGTCATATTTCATGTGTTTTTGAGCTTATAGTCTCTTGAACATTCAGTGCCCCCTGCCTCATCTTGGTGTCCCCTGCATGGTCTAGCCACCTCGGTCCAGAGCATGGAAAGAAACGTTCAACACGTGCTCTAGGATGGGGCCTCTGAATCTTGCTGTCTGGGGGTAGTGCTAGTATTTAGCAGCATCCCTGACATCCACTAGGTGTCAGTAGCACCCCCAAGTTGAGACACAAAAAGTCTTCAAACAGCCAATTATCTCCTGGGGGTAAAGTCTCCCCAAATTGAGAACCACTGCTCTGGGGTGTTGGGGATCCACAAGGGGAGGGGTGGTGTTGGTATGTTCTTAAAGAACATCATAATGGGGTCACACTGGGACTTCAGGCAGGGGTGCAGCAGGAGGAGGACAATTAGGACAAATACCAAGTAGGTGCTTGTCTACACCCCTCCCTGTGACAGTCTCATAAATGGCCAGTGCTGGAGGGGGTCACATCTCTCCTCCCAGACAGAGAAAATGGGGTCTGGAGGGAAGGGCTTTGTTATCAGGCCAGCAAGACTGATATGCAAATGTATATGCATTTAATATGTGCATATGTATTAGCTATAGTGACATATATAAGTACTCTGTTAAAATGGATGTGGAATCACAAATAGGAAAGAAATTTCAGATTTTTTTCTGTGCAGCTCTCTTGGGTACTCATGTGTGCACACGTGCGCACACACGCACAGACGCTCATCCATGTGCAGTTCAGTCTTGCGTCCCTTTTTTAATTGGGGAGAGGAAGTGGAAGGAATTTGAGGTGCACACTGCTGCCTGCAGTCCTTTGGTCTTGAAGCCTGGGTCCGAGAAGAAGAGGTGCACAAAGCAAGAAATGCAGATGGAACAGGCTCCCTTTTACTTAGCCAGATGGACATCTGTGCACTAAATGAGGGGGCAGTGCCACTTTATTCTTTCATTTTATTAAACTGTTTTTTTTTTGGGGGGGGTGTTAATTTGGTTTTGAATGAAAAATGCTGAATTTTATCCTCGGTTTTTACTTGCAAGTTATGAACACAAACAGCCAGGACAGGAGATTATGAAGGGAAATGGCTCCTCTTCCAACCCTTGGTATACTTCTTCATTCTTTTCCCCAGAGCTTGGTGTACCTGGTGATGGGCATGGCTTCAGGCACAAGATGGAGGAGGCTCATGGAGGAGGGAGGGCTTTCCAGAGCATGAGGGCCACCTGTGCACAGTTCTCAAGGTGAAGAACAACTTGAAGGGACATAATGTGTTTCTGCATGTGTGAGCTGTGGCTACGGCAGAAGAGTGGTGAGGTGAAGCTGTCCAGGCAGCGGGGCCCAGGGTGTAGAGGTGAACGCTGACCACAGAAAGGAGTTGGGGCTTGATCCGAGGGCCCTGGGCAGCCAGGGAAGCTTTGGAAGAAGAAAGGCACTGGAGGAAACTCCTGGCTGGTGTGTGGAGTAG